CACTCAGGAAATGGTGCAAACGCTGTGGCACTTACAGAGGCCGCAGACAGTGACCCTGCAGACAGCAGGTGCGCCCGTGGGACCCGCCTGCCCCGCTCCCGCCAGCGCCCATGTGGATGTGAGAAATCACAACCAGGGGCAAAGCGTGAGGGAATCGGGGGTTTCTGCTGCCACGGGTAGCGGCGGACAGCGGGGACATCACAGACCCACTTCAGGGTGGGCACCAGAATCCTGGGACTGCCGGGAAGCCATGTCCGGGGCAAGGGCGGGGCTGGGTCTCACTGATGGCGGTCTGGAAAGGCTGGAGTGGGTGGGCCCAGCCGCCCTGGCCGGTCAGGTGGGGAGTGGGCTTTGCGCTGTGCAGGCCAGCGGGTGGGGGTGGTGCAGGCTGTCCTGCTCCTGAGACCCCAGCCTTTTGTCTCCAAAGGTGTTCTGGGGCACAAGGGAGCCCACGCCACTGTGGCCATGGAGTGTGGGTTTGGGGATGGGGCCAGCCCAGGGTGTGGGGAAAAGGCGGGCCTGCCCTGGACACCCCCGGGATTTAGTGGGACTCTGGGTGGTTCTGGCTCAGGACGGCAGGTGCTGCGGCCTTGGACTTGTGGGCCGGGCTCTGCCCTGGGGTCCAGAGCTCGCTTTGGGGCCTCACCCTGTCTCTCTCACCTTGGCGGTGCCCCAGCTGGGAGGCTGTGGCGTGCTGGGCGTTGGCATCTGGCTGGCGGCCACACAGGGGAGCTTCGCCACGCTGTCCTCCTCCTTCCCGTCCCTGTCGGCCGCCAACCTGCTCATCGTCACCGGCACCTTTGTCATGGCCATTGGCTTCGTGGGCTGCCTGGGCGCCATCAAGGAGAACAAGTGCCTCCTGCTCACCGTGAGTGCCAGGGCCTGGGCAACGCTGGGGGGCACACGCAGGGTGGGGCCTGTTGTCCCCGAGGCCTTGGCTGCGGGCCGTGACCCCTAGGCGTGGGTGCCACCTCAGGGGTCTGACCTCCCGGGCGGGAGTGTGGCCTGGGGCCCCAGTCACTGTTGGGTCTTCCAGGCTAGGTCGGGGCTGGGGGGGTCACTCTCTAAAAAGAACACGCTGTGGCTTGTTGGGGGCTCCCTTGACGGGACACTGGCCCCGGTGAGTGCAGGCACAGCCCATACACGTGTGCACACGCACTGAGGCCCTTCACGGGTGGGCGGCCTCCGTGACTCATTCCTCACCACCCCCACGCCCGTCAGGGGCCTGGCCCCAGCTCCCTGGGACCCTCTGCTGAGACCCTCCCGGCCCCACCTTGCCTTGGGCCGGACGTACAGGCAGGGATGCGTGTATCCTTCTTGGAAACGTTAATCATGATAATTAAAAAGAACGGCTCCTGGACAGAAGCGGCTTGCTGCCGACCGACACGCCCGGCCAAGGCCCATGGCGGGTTGGGGTGCGCAGCCCGCTGAGGCCTGAATCACAAGGCTTCCCCCGCCCCTTTAAGTCCTGCATGGGGTCCTCACTCAGGTGTCAGCCAGCCCGCTCCCCTCCGTGCCCCTTCCTGGGGGAGGCCACTTCCTGGGGGCGAGCCCCACGTCTGCCAGCCTCCCCAGGGCCCAGTTAGGTCCCAGAGCTCCCTGGAGGCTGTGGCCAGGGGTCTGCGCCTCGGACAGTCGAGGTGGCTGCTGTGTGTGGGCCCTGCCAGGCCTGCAGGGACACGGGCCCGACCCTTTCCCGTGGGTGACTTGGGACCCAAACCCTGGGTACCTCCTGGAAGTGGGGGGCTCCTGTGTCTTCAGCCCAGCTCGCCCCGTCTGCCGCCCCCACGCCCACCCTGCCTGGGCCCCTAGCTCCCAGCCCCACCCTGTCCATGCCTGCCCTCCTTTTTCAGGGTGTCTGACCCACGCGGAGGAACAGGCTGGGGTCAGGCTGAGCTTCGGGGCTGCCACCAGGAGGGGGAAGGTTGGGTGGTCAGAGGCAGGGTTTGCAGCCCGTGATCTTGTGGAGGGGGCGTCGGCCACCTTGGCTGCCCTGAAGGCTGTGATGTGGGGGCGGAGGGGGCTTCTGCAGCCCAGCTGTGGCCCCTCCTTCTGCCATGAAGACACAGGCACCCAGCGAGGCACCCGCCGGACACTCAGAGGCCCCTGGATGGAGGTGTCCCGAAGGCAGCTGACGGGCTGAGGCCTCAGGAACAGGGATTTGTGCCCACCTGGGGTGTCTGGGTTGCCCCAGGGTGGGGATGGGAGGGGAGCCCAGGACAGCCCAGCGCCCCACACTTGGGCTGAGCCAGACGCAACAGCCCCTGGACCTGGGCCGAGTTCTCAGGTGGGGTTGGCATGCCGGGGTCTCTGGGAGTGGGGGCCTGGCAGGGGTTTCTGGGCAGCACCAGGTGTCCCTGAGGTGTGTGGCCCCGGGCCCTGGCGTGCTGTGGAGCGGAGGCTGGGGGGCCTGCCGGGTCCCCACCTGAGCCTGCCCCTCCACAGTTTTTCCTGCTGCTGCTGCTGGTGTTTCTGCTGGAGGCCACCATCGCCATCCTCTTCTTCGCCTACACGGACAAGGTACAGCCGCCTCAGCGCAGGCCCCGCGGCAGGGCTGGGGGCTCCATCCTTACCCCCAGGGGGCGTGGACAGAGTGGCCTGGCATCTGCCCTCGCTAGTGGCCAGGGACAGCGGGTGTGGATTTAGCAGTAGCCACTGGAGACCAGGCCTGGAGGGAGAGCGCCAGCAACCCTGGGCGGCTGTGCTGTGGCTCTGAGGCCACCCGGGCATGAGGGCACCATTCCCCCACCCGGAGACCGCTCACGGGACACTCCCTGCCCTCTGCCTGCTCCCCCACCCGAGGCTGCTCACGGGACACCCCCTGCCCTCTGCCCGCTCCCCCACCCAAGGCTGCTGGGGGGTCATCCCCTGCCCTCTGAGGCAGTGTCCTGGGCTGTCTGCCCCCAGTGCCCTTCTGTGCCACTAATTTACATCCGGCCATTTGTTTATACTGAGATGAAGGCGCGGATATTGAGGCTGCACCCTGAGCTAGAACACACCACCACTTTGTTTTGTGAATCACACCGCCCGTCCTCGGCCCTGGGGAGCTCCTGCAGTCGGCTGCTGTGTCCCGATGCACCCCCATTGACAGACTTTTCATTTTGGGGCACGTCCTGACTTCCTGGCACTGCAGGGCACTCCAGGCTCCTCCTGCATTCCCTGCCCCGGCCCGGGAATCAGCCCCTTTTCCAAGGAGCCCCAGACCCTCACTTAACACTGGGGACCAAGGCCAGGGTGCGAGGTGGGCCTGGTGCTCGTGGCTCCTGGCTTTCAGCTGACAGCATGGCTGTGTGTGACATGTGGAGGCACCTGTGTCCCTGCCCCTGTCCCCCAGGACCCACCGTCCTCCCCCTGCCTGGGGAGGAAGCTCAGGGGTGGGGGCCCTGGGCCTCAGGGCTTCTGAGGACGCGCAGTTTCTTAGGCTGGCAGGGGCGGGAGCCACTTCAGGACGAGGTGCAGGAGGGGCCCGGGGCCCAGATTAGGGGCCAGCGAAGGCGTCTGGGTGAGGGGGGTGGGGCACAGTGGGAGCAGCCCTGCTGACACCCCTGCACCCCCAGATTGACAGGTACGCCCAGCGAGACCTGAAGAAAGGCCTGCACCTCTACGGCACACAGGGCAACGTGGGCCTCACCAATGCCTGGAGCATCATCCAGACTGATGTGAGGCGTGGGCAGGTGGGCAGGTGGGCGGGTCAGCGGGCGCCCCCCTCCTGCCTGAGCCTGACCCGAGCTTGCCCCCCAGTTCCGCTGCTGTGGCGTCTCCAACTACACCGACTGGTTTGAGGTGTACAATGCCACACGTGTGCCCGACTCGTGCTGCCTGGAGTTCAGTGAGAGCTGCGGGCTGCATGCGCCCGGCACGTGGTGGAAGGCGGTGAGTGGGACCCCCACGGGGGTTAGCGGGACCAGCAGCCTGGGACGCCCTGGTGACATGCGGGCACGCCTCCCTGCAGCCCTGCTATGAGACAGTGAAGGTGTGGCTGCAGGAGAACCTGCTGGCTGTGGGTGTCTTCGGGCTGTGCACGGCACTGGTGCAGGTATGGCCCGGGGGTCCCCCTTTGTTGAGGTAGCAAAGGCCTTGCCGCCAGGAGCCCATGATCAGGAAGGCGGGGTCTGGGGGGATGGACAGGCGGAGGCGGGTGCAGGGCAGAGGCGGGTGGCTGTCCATGCTGGTGTCCCAGGACCGGCCAGTGCAGAGGCTGGTGGCCGGGCCCGGTGCCGGTGGCCCCTGCTCTCCTCATTCCAGTTGCCGTGAGGTCCCGGGTGTCCTCATGCCCGCAAGGCTCAGGGGAGGGTGCTGTGGCTGAGCCCCAGGGGTTGGGTGGGGCGTGTGAGCCTCGGGAAACGGAGGGGCTCTGCCACTGTGTCCCCCACCCCGGGGACCACTCTGGGCTTGAGGCCTCAGCCTGTGGAGCAGCCATCCAGCACTCCTCCGTCCCCACAGATCCTGGGCCTGACCTTCGCCATGACCATGTACTGCCAGGTGGTCAAGGCAGACACCTACTGCGCGTAGGCCGCCCAACGGACGCCCGCGGGGAGACGGCCGCACCCACAGCTGCCTTTCCCACCACCGGCCTCGGTGCTCTGCCCCATGCTGGGAGGGAGGGGAGGGACAGATGCCCGGAACCTGTTTCCAGAAGGCCCTGGCTTGGGTGGCTTCAGGGCTTCTGGACTCCCCGGGAGGGGATGGCCACAGACTCGCTGCAGAACCCAGGGCAGGGGCCGGAGGGGCTTCCAGCAGTTTTTTTATCTATTATTCTCCAGAGCGGCGTCCACACGGGAGCCAGCCTGTGGCCCCTGGCCTCCCGGGACACGGGGTGGGGCTGGAGGGGCCAGGTCTCGGCATCCTGGAGGTGGCCTCGCTGGTCCTGGTGCTCTAGGCTGGGCCGCGGCACCTCACCTACATTCCACAGTGGCCATGGGCTCCTGGTGCATCTCTTAATAAAGTGTGAGCAGCCCCCTGTGCCTGTTGCTGGTCCACCTCCCCCCACCCCATCTTCCCCTTTGGCACCCAGGCCTGGGCAGAGCAGCCTCTGGCATGAATGGTGCTTAGGCAGAGCCTGTGGCTGTGGGCATCCCCATGCAGATTGTGATGGGGACACCAGCCTCAGGGATGACAGTCAGGTTGGGGCATCTGACCCCCAAACTGCACCCCACAATCTCAATTTCCAGTTCATGCCTGCCCCACCCCCTGCCCACCCCCCGGGGACACACAGCTGGCTCCAGGCTTCCCATCCTGTGTGGCACCCACACTGACCTGGCAGTGCCCGGACCCGGGCCCCACCACCCTCCTAGACCTGCATGTCCCCCGCCCTCACTCCAACGGAAGCCACGGGACCCCAGAGAACCCACCTGAATGTTAGTGTCAGCACCTCTGGGGTACAAAGCCAGAGGCAGCTTTTTTTTTTTAGGCCAGGTTCTACTCCGTGCCCCAGGCTGGAGTGCAGCCCTAACGGCTCACCACGCCCAGCCGCCTCAAGCGATCCTCCCACCTCCGTCTCCTGAGTAGCTGGGACTGCAGGCACACACCACTGCGTCCTGATGATTTTGTATTTTGTGGGGCAGAGATGGGGTTTCAGCCCAGCGTCCCTCCCGCCACGGCTTTCTCAAAGTCCTGGGATTGCAGGCGTGAGCCCCAGCGCCCAGCACGCCCTGCGGCCTATGTCTACAGCAGGCAACGAGGCAGAATGGCTGCACCGAGCCTGCAGTGTGGCGGCACGCAGGCCTCCCGGACACCCAGGTGGTGCCTTTCTCATGCATGGGTGCCTTGGGTCCCACCCAAGACCTCCTCCTCAGCTCCCACCTGTGGAAGAGACCCCACCGTGCTCCCTCACCACCAGCTGGGGATGTCCTGACCCCCTACCCCCTGCCTCCTAACATTACGGACTCTAAACCAGGACCCTGGCTTCATGTCCCCACCCATGGCATTCTCAGTGAGGGGCGCCCAGGCCCACCCACTCCCTGACTCACTTCCATCCCTCTGAGGCCCTGCCCGTGACATGCACCCCATGTCCTCTGCTGCCCACCTCAGCCCCGCAGGCCTCACTGGTGAGGAGGGGAGGCTTCACGGCCGGCCAAGGACAAGATGGCAGCTGGGGGCAGGGAAACAAGGGCTGCCAGGCCTCAGCTCATGATGCCCGCAAATTCCCCAGGGCATCCCCAGTCCTGGACACTGCTGCACTGCAGGGTACCCTCTGCCCCACCCCCTCAGTGGAAACACTTGTCCTGACTTGGCCTATGGGTCCTGCCGTTGCCCCTCTCACACCCTGACACAGCCAGGCTGGCCTGGGGGTCACACCACCTGAGGCGGCAGAGCTGAGCCACGGTCCAGGGCCAGGCTCCTCTGAGCCCATCTCCAGGGCAGCCCCTTCACCCCTGCCATGCTGGGCTCTGTGAGGACATCTGGGTGGCTCTCTGCAGGTGACGCACACGTGCTGTCACTGCCCAGGTGTGTGGCAGGTGCATGGGGGCGGGGCTGTCAGCTCTGCCAGGGCCCTGGAGTCCAGGAGTGGGCGAGTCTGGGATTATTCCACAGCTTCCAAACCCACATCCAGCCCAGTACCTGAGCAGCAGCCCAGAAAGGCCTGAGCCCGGCTGTCCTGGTAGGGCAGGTAGAGTGGGTCCTCCCTGCCCAGCCGACAGGAGGCAGCTGGCAGTGCCCAGGTGGGAGGGGCTCAAGCTCTCAAGGTGCCCCCCAGCCAGGACTCATCCCAGGGCAGGGACCCCTCATGGGAGGGTGGGAATGACACGGGGCCCGGGACCCCCCACTGAGGACCTCGGCAGACCCATCACAGCAAATGGAGTGTAGGCCTGTATTTGACACCCGGTCACTCACTCCAGGGCTTAGGAAAGAACCCGTCCGCCGTGGGCCGCCGTGCCCACCTAGAGCAAGTCGTAGAAGTAGTCCAGGCCCTGGCCCAGCTCCCAGATGGACACCCCGACGCCCAGCTCCCGCGCCAGTTCCAGCCGCACCTGCAGGGACTGGGCACAGACGGAAGGGTGAGCGCCTCCTGGGCCCATCCCCCAGCACCCAGGGACGCCCTCCATGCCAGGGCAGCACTGCCTGGACCCCAGGGCTGCAGGCCCCCATCCCATGGCCAGCAGCACACGCACCTTCAGGGTTGGGTAGAAGACGACGTGTCTCCCACTGCGGCTCCTGCAAGACAAGGGGACTGTCACCCGTCCGCCAGCTCTGCTGGCCCGGGGCCGCCTCCCCGCACAGCCACGGTCCAGGTACTGTCCCCCTGCCAGGTGGCCACATGCTGTCTTGCTGTGCACCGGGGCGGGAGTGGCAAGTGGGCTCCCCTACTTCCACCCCCAAGGCCCCACCCTGCACACGGAGGCCGAGGCGGTCACCCACGTCCCAACACTCACTTCTTGTATTCGAAGAAGTGCTCTGAGGCTTGGCTGTCCCACACCATCCGGGGCCTGTGGTCCTTCAGTGTCTGGATGTACCTGGGGAGACCAGGATGTGGGTTTTGGAGCTCCGCCCGCTCCCCCACGGCCCCACGCTGCACCCCCGAGGCTGTGGCTATCAGCAGGGGCACAGGGCCACTCAGGGCAGCAGGTCAAGGGAGCCACCGTCCCGGTGGTCTGGGGATGATGGCTGGTGCGGGGGAAGGCGGGGGGGAAGGCTGGAGCCTCAGGTCCCGTATTTGAGGAATCCTCAGGAAACACATCTTTCCAGTAGCCTCCTCAGGAGAAGCCACTCCACCGAATCCTCAATGCCCTGATCTGGAGGGTGACAGGGGGCCTGAAGCTGCCTGACGCTGGCGGTGGCCCTCAGGCTATGCAGTGGCTGCTGGACGGGGCTCCTCACTACCCAGACAGAAGGTGAGAGGCCAACCAGGCAGGCCTCAGGCTGCCCTGGCCCCACTGCAGGCCCTGGGCTGACGGGCAGGCCTGGTCCTGGGCAGTGGTTTCTGCCCCGTTTCAAAGGCTGCGTCTGCCTCAGTCTGGAAGTGACCACCCCATGCCCTGGACTGCGGCAGGCCCCTCCTGAGCACCGGGAGCCAGGGGTGTGAGAACCACCGGTCCTTCACACAGAGGACAGCTCATTCCCAAGGTGCCGGGGACAGGACTGCGCTTTCCAGAAGGTCACGGGGGTCCCTGAGTGTGTGCACAACTCACTGCACATCTGGGACCAGGGCAGGTGGTTCCAGAACACTGGGCCACAGCCACCAGCAGCACCAACAGATGGTTCCGGAAGCTTCTGGTCTCTGCAGCAGGAGTCTGTGCAGGTGGTGGTGGCTGACGGTGGAATATGACCCGTGCCTGCTGCATGAGGACGGTGCCCCCAAGTGCCTGGGGCTGCAGCCACAGGGAGGAGGCCTGGCCTGGACCGACAGCCCAGGTGCCATGGAGGGAGGGGAGGACAGGCAGTGGGCAGCTGCAGGGGCATCCGCAGGACCCTAAGGGAGCAGGGCTGGACAGCGCGGGCTTCATCCAAGTGAGAAACAGCGACCACGGGACCGCACCTCGACCCACCTTCCCAGTGCTCCTACACTCCTGCCCAGGAGGTGTGGGATGCTTGAGTCTCCCCAACGGGGACACGCTGCTGTTGTCCTGAGCAGGGGAGTCTCTTCCAGACTAGGGCGTATGTCACTTCAGAGCCATGAGGGAGAGCAGCTGCTACCCGCCCAGCAGTGCATGAGAAAGTGCCAGACCCCGTGGGGTAGCTCTGGCCTTTCAGGGCATGGGGTGGATGGGGGCTGCTCTGCAGACATCAGACCCCAGGAGAGACGCAGCAGGGAGGGTGAGACATGGCACTTGGGCAGCCTCCCCAAGCCAGAGTTTTCCCCAGGCAACTGTTTTTGCTGCGTTCGCCCAGGCTGGAGTGCAGGGGCACCATCTCGGCTCACTGTAACCTCTACCTCTTGGGTTCAAGCGATTCTCCCACCTCTGCCTCCTGAGTAGCTGGGATCGCAGGCACCTGCCACCATGCCTACCTGGTTTTAGTATTTTTAGTAGAGACGGGGTTTCTCCATGTTAGCCAGGTGGAACTCCTGACCTCAAGTGATCCACCCGCCGCAGCCTCCCAGTGCTGGGATTACAGGTGTGAGCCACTGTACCCAGCCCCTCTAGACGCTGGCAGTGGGTGGCAGCAGTGGCTGGCAGCTCCAGCCATCCCAGGCCTGGAAAAGCTCTGCTGGACCTCCGCCCTCCTGGGGCTGGGCCAGGCGCCTCAATAGCCATGTGTATGTAAACACGGTCCTTCCAGAAGCTCCTCCAGGCCAGGCAACATCATGGAGGCAGCTGCAGCCATAGCCACAACCCCTGAGACAGCTCTAAGATCACTGCTTTATCCTTCACTGAAATGGCACCCGAGGTGTTGATTAATTTGCAGCTCCCCCCCACCCCTCACCGCAATATCTGCTGAGTGGCTCTGTGGGAATGAGACGGGCAGGGTCGTGGGCAGACGCCACAGGACGGGCCCTCGAGCTGTGGGGAGCTCTGGCCACGCCACACACTCTTCCTCCTGGGGGGCCTTTGTGGTCACCCCTCAAAATCTGCTGCCCCCAGGAGAAGGTGAGGCTGGGGGTGGCCAGGACCCCAGAGAGAACTGGGTACGTCCGCTCAGGCTGGTGGTTTGGCGTGGGGGTGGTGACCATGCTGTGGGGGCAGCCATGACCAGGGCGCTGACAGGGACCCCAACCCTGGGAATCGCTACCCTCAAGCAGCCACTGGGGATGAGGAGAAGCAGGAACCAGGTGCTGGGTAGGAGTGTGTGCCCAGCTCCCAAAAGCCCAGGGAGGGTCCGAGACTCACTCCCGGGAAGGGAGGGTGAGGCCACCGGGTGTAAGGGTGGGGCAGCTGCAGACAGGAGTGAGTCCAGGCCCCTGGTGCAGGGAGGACCGTCCTCAGGGGGGCTGGAGCCTTGGGGACCTGAGTGGCCCAGGCTGATAACTGGGACCGCCCTTGAGGGCTTATGAGGGAGCACGGCTGGTGTGAGGGGCCAGGCTCTCAGGCGGTACATGGGCCACACGGGTCCTTCAGGGAGCAGCACCGGCCACAGGGAGGGGAGGGCGGGCGAGCGGCCTGCCTAAGAGGAAGGGGAGGGGAGGGACAAGCACACAGAGAAGGGCATGTGAGCAGTAAGGACGCAAAGCTCACGGGCGGCCGCGGCCTCGACCTCACAGAACGGTCCAGAACAGACAAACCCACAGACTGGACACAGGCCAGGGCAGGGAAGGCAACAACTATGGAAAGGCACAGGGCTGCTTTCGGGGAGCAGGGAGGGCTGCACAGGTCTGTGGGCGTACTGAATGCCACTCTGAAATGGTCTGAATTTTATCCTTGTAACTCAGAAAGACTCACAAGGCCTCAAATGGAAAGGGTCAAGGAAATCCAAACAGGACATACACACAAAACACACCCAGACACACCACAGAGGAATCGGGAGGACCAGGGATGGAGAGGGCGTTCTGGGTGTTTCTATGGAGAAAGCACGAGAAAGACGTTCCTGAGCCTCCTGATGGGGGGGTCACCCCACAGAGACCAGCTTGGAAACTTGTCTTGGAGAAGGGACTCCAGAAAACCAGGGACGTGCTCCAGAGCCTGGGGAGGCTGCCAACGTCTAAAAAGGAAGGATGAAGAACAAAGATACCCGAGGGGGCTGGGCGAGGTGGCTCATGCCTGTAATCCTAGCACTTTGGGAGGCCAAGGTGGGTGGATCACTTGAGGTCAGGAGTTCGAGACCAGCCTGGCCAACGTGGTGAAACCCCAACTGTACTAAAAATACAAAAATTAGCTGAACATGGTAGCAGGTGGCTGTAATCCCAGCTACTCGGGAGGCTGAGGCTGGAGAGTCATTTGAACCCAGGAGGCCAAGGTTGAAGTGAGCCGAGATTGTGCCATTGTACTCCAGCCTGGGTGACGGAGTGAGGCTCCATCTCAAAAAATAAAGCTGCCCGACGGAGAGAGGGAGAGATGGAGGAAGCAGCAGCGGTCAGAGGAGGCACTCCCAATACCTCACCTCCGCTCTGTGGCCCTGGCTGGAGCAGGGGTGCCAACCCCGCAGGGCAGCCAAGTCTGAGCAATCCCTCCACCCTGCTAAGCAGAGGGACCACGGAGGACCGCCCCACAGACACACTGCTGCTGTCACACCAGCCCAAGAGCCCAGGTTCGGGACTCTCAGGAGGGCAGTGGGCCATGGACCTCCACTGCCCTAAGCAGCCTTGGCCCAGTGGCTGGCAGGAGCCCTGGTCATCCACCAAGAAGGGTGTCCCTCTCTTGGCCCCTGAGAAGAAGCCAGCTCATGGGAGACTTCGAGGAGGCTGGCGTCAGAGGCCACTGGGGGCCTCTCTCCTTGGGTCTGCCCAGGCAGCCTCCTGAGATGCAGGATGGACAGGAGCATCTGACCAGACGTTCTGGGACACCTTGACTGCATGTGCAGAGCCAGCCTGGGCTGAGCAAGGAAGGAGCCTGGGGAGGTGGCGCCAGGATCTCAGCAGGAAAAGGTCCAAGAACTCTGGGCCAGCGGGCACCGGGAGACACGGGTTGGGACGGGGCGGGAGCTGTGCACCTGTACCACAGCTGGGGCCGCCTCACCGGGGGATGCAGTTACAGATGTGGTGACGGAGCCTCCAAGCCCTTCCTGGCCCACACCCACAGCCCAAGTTAGGTGGCTGCCTCTCCCAGACTCAATTTTTTTTTGAGATAGGGTCACTGGGCTCAGTGACTTGAAACACAAAAAACTAGTTGGGCATGGTGGCATACACCTGTAGTGCCAGCTACTTGGGTGGCTGAGGCAGGAGAATCGCCTGAACCTGTGAGAGGCTGAAGTGAGCCGAGATCAAGCCACTGCACTCCAGCCTGGGCGACGAGCGAAACACCATCTCAAAAACAAAGAGATGGGGTCCTGTTCTGTCACCCAGGCTGGAGTGTGACGCTGTGACCAGAGCTCGCTGTAGCCTAGACCTCCCAGGCTCCAGCAATCCTCCCACCTCAGCCTCCTGCATAGCCGGACTGCAGATATGCAACACCACACTAACTTTTAACATTTTTTAGAGACGGGGGTCTTGCTATGTGGCCCAAGCTGTTTTCAAACTCCTGGCCTCAACTGATCCTCCCATCTCGGCCTCCCAAACTGTTAGGATTACAGGCGTGAGTCACTACACACAGCATCCCTTAGACTTGACCAACCAGCGACGGGGCTGTACTGGCTCCAAAGGTGCAGCCACTCCACAATCACGGAATACTGTGAGCCGCCCTGAGCTGCCCTGAGGAAGTGACTGTGTGTCCCGGACGCAGCAGGCAGAAGACACAGCCTGGTGGGCACAGCTCTCTGCAGGGAAAAGAGCACGAGGCCCAGCCCAGCCTTGGGAGTGTGTGTCCAGAGAACCGCCTCCTCAGGCCCCCCAGGAGCTCCCCCAGGGCTCTGACGCTAGCTGCTTCTGGCCAGTGGGAGGAGGGGCTTGCCGGTGCTGCCCAGGGCCAGGGCACCCCGGGACTGAGAAGCAGCAGTTCTGTAGGCGGCCCCGTCGGTGGCTTTGTTACAGCTGCCCTTGAAGACCAGCACGGGTGAGACTCAAGGCCAACACTGTGTCCCTTTCAAAGCCAACCAGAAATAAGGCTTTCCCGAAGGCCTGGGTAAGCAGAGCCCACAGCTGGAGCGGAGTCAGGGCTGGGTACATGGGGAGGCCTCCTGCTTTGCACGGGGGACCCTGGCTGGGTCAGGGCTGGGTACACGGGGAGGCCTCCTGCTTTGCACGGGACCCTGGCTGGGAGCCCAAGCTCTATATGGCTCCACACAAAAGGCCCCAGAAACAGGCCTTGTCAGGGATGGGGGAAGGCGGGGAGATGTGCCGTGCTTCCAGAACCTTCCTGGGAGTCCCAGTGTCAAAGGAGGGCTGTGGTGGGGGATGGTGCAGGACACATAGGAGCACAGAGCAGCCCTGATGGAAACAGACGATGGGGGCAGACAGGGCGGCCGGGCCCCCTCACCTGGCAAGGCAGGGACATGTGAGCTGACGTCAGTAACTGACCCGTGTCCCATCTCAGCAGCAGCAGGGGACCCAAATGAGCCGGGGCCCTGGGACATCGCCCTTGCCTGTGCACAGCCCCGAGTGTCTCAGGAGTGGCTGACCTCTCCCTGACCCATGGGTGAGATGTGGGAGAGAAGATGCCAGGCTCCTGCTGCCCAGGCTGGACCCAGGCCCTCCTCAACCAGCACCCCCTCGTGTCCGTCCCCACAGCAGCGTCAGGCCCTGCTCAGTGACCCAGAGCAAACCCAGGGCCAGGAGCCAGGGAACAGCAGGAGCCAGGCCCGTGCTGGACCCCAGAACCAGCGGTGTGAACAGAGAGCGGCGTGTTGGGGGAAAGCCTCCCTACAGGACCACCATACACGACCCCGGTCTTGCAACCTGGCCCACCTGACATCCGCCGTGGAGGGGCTCAGGGAGGGCGGCCTTGGAGGCCAGGCAGGGAACGCTGGCCAGACACACTTCCCTACCGACCGCCGCCACCCTCAGAACCCAAGAATCTAGCAGTTACTAGATTCTCCACGGCCCCCTCCATGGCCAACCCGGAGGAAGCAGGGCAGATGGGCTGGCCTCTGCTCACCTGCCTGGGCTGACCACGCACACACCCCTCACGGAGGGCAGGCCTTTGGGGGAGCTGCACAGACTCACAAAGATGACAACTGAGGCCTCCACAAAAAGGACCAGGTTCTCCAGAAAAATGAGCCACTAAAACTGTTTCTAAGAGACCCAACTGCACCTAGAGCAAAGATTAGTATGATTTATAAAAATGCCAAAACACCCAGCACCCAACACAGTAAAATCTGCAACGTCTGAGGCATCAGCCCAAGGGTACCCGGCCCACAGAAAGGCAGCACGATGGGACCCTGACCGAGGAGGAGAAGCAGCCCACGGAAACCCACCCTGACGTCGGCATCCGCAGACGCCTGAATCCCAGTGTGCAAAAGTTCAGTGGAGACACGAACACGTAAGGTGACCCCAGATAAGCCTCCAGACATGAGAATTACATGCTGGCCAGGCTCGGTGGCTCACGCCTGTAATCCCAGCACTTTGGGAGGCCAAGGCAGGCAGATCACAAGGTCAGGAGATCAAGACCATCCTGGCTAACCCCGTGAAACCCTGCCTCTACTAAAAATGCAAAAAAATTAGCTGGGTGTGGTGGTCCCAGCCACTAGGGAGGCTGAGGCAGGAAAATCGCTTGGACTCGGGAGGTGGAGGTCGCAGTGAGCGGAGATTGTGCCACTGCACTCCAGCCTGGGCAACAGAGTGAGACTTTGTCTCAAAAAAATAAAAATATACTAAAAATAAGAAAGTTGAATTACAACACGTGAGGTGACAAAGGTGCTGGACGGGATTGACAGCAGGTTGGGAGCAGCAAGAAAAATGACCAGGCCAGGCTTGGGGCTCACACCTGTCACCCCAGCACTTTGGGAGGCTGAGGCAGGAGAATCACTTGAGCCTAGAAATTTGAGACCAGCCTGGACAACACGGCAAAACCTGGTCTCTACAAAAAAAATACGGAAATCAGTGGGGCGTGGTGGTGCGCGCCTGTGGTCCCAGCTACTGGGAGGCTGAGGCTTCAGTGAGCTGTGATCACGCCTTTGCACTGCATCCTGGGTGAGAGCACGAGACCCTGTCTCAAAAAAACAAAAGAAAACAGAGAAAAAAGGATCCCAAAGAGTAGAAGGTGTATTAGTGAGCTGCGGGACACATTCAGTGGATCCAGTGTTTGCAGTCTCCAAAGGAAAGGGGAGATGGGAAGAAACAGAAAAAGTATTTCAAGAATCTGCCCCAAATTTTCCAGATTTGCTGAGTATAAACGCACAGATTCCAGAGGCTCCATGAACGCTAAGCAAAAGGAAAATGAAAACGAGTCAATCAAATTGTTCAAACCCAGCGATAAACACGAGATGGTCCTAAAAGCAGGGAGGGGGGCGGGTGGCAACAACCTTCAAGTGCCGACGAGAAGCTGATGCCGGAACCCCGCAGCCGGGAGGAACGTCCTCCAGAAACGAGGTAAATCAATGCCGTCAAGAAACCCCACGGGCAGAGCGCACGAAGAACACACAAGGCAGGCAGTCAGTCCTGCATTCAATGAAGGAGGCCCCGCCCCAGCCAGGGTGCTGCGGGGCAAGGCTGGCAGGGAGGACGCAGCCTCACGCAGATGTGGGGACAGCTAACGTGGCGGTGCTGTGGGTGGCGACCAGGTGGGGTGGGCACCAAGCATGACTGGCTCCTGGCCCAGCCCAATCTCCGACGCTTTGGTACACGAGCTCCAGAGGACTGGGACCCTCCCTATCCTCCAACACCCACCCACACCGGGGGACACTTTCAGCACGGCAGGAAGAGCCCTTGGCTCACCTGGCCCCAACAATGGGCTCCCGGGAATCCTTGGAGGTTGCGTAGTCCATACCGTAGAAGTTGAGTCCCAGGAGGATTTTGCTTCGCCACTTGGACTTGGGGTCCAGGACTTGGACGCAGGCTCGAACCCAGGACAGCGGTGCGTTGGGGCCAGGCCTGCAGGGCAAGGGGTGAGTGAGTTTCAGCAACAGGGAGGGTCATGCTCCTGAGCCATCGCTGGGGCCTTCCACGAGGGATGCCTTCTCCCCAGGCTGCAGCTGCCTCTCCGAAGTCGGGAAGAACAGAAACGATCCATGTTAACGGGCTGTCAGCAAAGCAGGCCCCATGAGGCACCCACATCCAGGGCCAGGCACTCATGTGCGGCTCCCCGCCCCAGAGCCACAGGCAGGAGTCCACATGACATGGCTGGGAAGGGGGTCTGTGCCTGTGCCCCCCACCATGACCCAGCTCCACCCCAGGCAGGGCCCCACCCATGTAACTCCCACAGGGCATGGAGCGGGCACGGTGCCACCGGCTTTCCCCAGGTGGGCATCCAGGCTCAGCAGGTGGCCTTATGCAGAGCCACAGACTGTAGCTGTGTCTGCTGCACCCAGGAGCCCTCCAGGTCCACACTCACTGCTCTGCGGTGGAGCCTGCTGTGCCCAGGAGCCCTCCAGGTCCACACTCACTGCTCTGCGGTGGAGCCTGCTGTGCCCAGGAGCCCCCAAGCCCACTCACTGGTGTGCTGTGGAGTAGTCGTAGGTCATGAGGCTGAAACCATCTAGCACGGGGGCCAGTTGCTCAAACTCCTTGTGCGTGAACATGCCCAGCTGGTCGGTCCTGCAAGACAGGTACAGCCCCCTCAGGCTACTCTGCGCCGTCTGAAGCCCCTGCCCAGCTGGGGTGACAGCTAGCTGGCTGTGTGGGCCTTGGGTCACTGTTTCCGTGGGGTGGAGGCAGCCTGCAACTGGGTCAGGGCTACAGAGGCTGGGGCCTGGGGAAGACAGGAGGATGTGATCACTTGGGCCCAGAGGCCTCCCTGAGACCAAGTTACAGCTGAAAACAGGGCTCACAGCGGGCAGACCGGGCCAGGGCTGCCCATGGAGGGGCAAGGTCAGTGGAGTGCAGCTAAGAGGGTGGGCCACTGCGGAGAGCTGGGGCCGCTGAGATGCAGCTGACAGATCCGGGCTCCCAGGAGCGTCCCCACCCAGGGTCTGCACCAAAGCCTCCCTGAAAGCAGGGCCAGCTCCTGGGACGCCAGCCCTCAAGGCCACTCAGCATCGGCCTGACCCCGCCAGGCTGTCCAAAGCCCTCTCTGGACCTCAGCAGGGAGAAGGGAAGGACAAATACTTGGCTCCCAGGACGGAGCAGGGCTGTGTAGTACATTCCCCAGTACAGCGGAGTGGGCACCAGGGCAGGTGGTTGGCTGCGGGCACCTGTGGCATGGGCACTGAGGAGGAAGCAGCCCTGGGCCATCTCGGGATGGCAGCCCTTCCCCTGGGGACCCGCCTTCCTGACCTAGATCCACTGGGGACCAGTGTCTCCTGGGGGCAGCCCTCCCACCTGCCCCAGGGACAGCTGAGTGCTCGCCGATGGCCGCTCCACACCAGGTCTGTAAGCAGAGGGGAGACGGGAGGGGCACACAAAGGTCAACGCTGAGGGCTGAGGGCCTTCACGGCAGCAGGACACAGGGCGGGGTGCGGACGGAGTGGCACTCACAGAAGCGAGGTGGGTCCCTGTGAGGCAGTGAGGCTCTGACCCCTTCTGAAGGTTACTGGGCTCCCAAATACGGACCACGCCAGGGACCTCCGTGCTGGGGGGCAGTGCTGGAGCCTCTCTCAAGGGCGTGCTGGGGGGCAGTGCTGGAGCCTCTCTCAAGGGCGTGAGGGCCAAAGATGCCCCTGCAGATCCCTGGACCCACCTGGCAGGTCTGAGGAGCCCCTCTCCAGATGTGCAGCTTTATCCCAGCCCTTGCCTTGAGTCTGCCAGGTCCAAGGTCCGGGCCTCCCTCCTCTGCTGGGCACCATGAGACCCAGGCCCCAGAGTCTGCAGGGACGTGGGGCATCATCCATGGTCCCCTCAGCCCCGATCTCTCTTCCTGGAGCCCTGCCTGCCCAGCCTCACTGCTCAGGCATGGTCAGCCTCCCTGGAACCCCGACAAACACCCCCAGTGCTATGCCTGTCACCTCCCGGTGGCCTCCCTCAGTGCCTGGGCCCCTCCCTATAGCCAGGAGCCCCTAAGACCGCAGCCCCAAATCCAGGTGTCCACAGGACCCTCCCCACCCTGCAGCCTCCCGCTGGGCCAAGGCCTCCACCCAGGTCCTCTCACCCACACCCAAGGTCATTTCTTCTCTCTTATTTTGAGATGGGGGTCTCTGTGTCACCCAGGCTGGAGTGCAGCGGCACAATCCTGTCTCACTGCAACCTTGGACTTCTGGGCTCAAGCAATCTTCTTGCCTTTTTAATTGATTCAAAAAAGGAAAAATGGCTGGGTGTGATGGCTCACACCTGTAATCCCAGCCATTTTGGGAGGCTGAGGAGGGTGGATCTCGAGTCCAGGAGTTGGAGACCAGCCTGGGCAACACAGTAAGACTCTGTCTCCACAAAAAAAATTTAAAAATTAGCCAGGTATGGTGGTGTGTGCCTGTAGTCCCAGCTACCTGGGGGGCTGAGGTGGGAGGACGGCTTGAGCTCAGGAGGTGGAAGCTGCAGTGAGCCGTGATGGTGCCACTGCACTGCACGACAGCCAAGACGATCAGTCAGCCCTGCTGTGGACAGGGTGCCGTGTCCCCACAAACCTAACCACCGACCGGATGGTTTCTGGAGACGGGGTCTTGCAGAGGTGATTAGGGTTAGACAAGGCAGTGATGATGGGACCCACGGTGGAGTCAGAGTCCTTACGAGAAGATACCACAGCTCTCTGCCACGTGAGGACGCAGAAAAAGGAGGCCTCGCTGGAGGGCGAGCTCTCTTGTCGGTCCCAGGCGGCCCCCAGCCCCTCCCACACAGAAACCCTGGCTCACAGCCCCACAGTGGCCTGTGGACTGATGCCAGGCTGTGCTGCGTGGGTTCCATCCCAGCCTGGCCGCTCCTGGGCTGCGATCTCCCCGTGGTTTTCATTTGCGCTTCCCTCATGAATAACGAGACTGAGCATCTCCTGGCCTGCCCAGCTACGTGCACGTGTCTACTGCGGCCTCTCGTGGCTCAGAATCCAGCTCTCCTGCCTGCCTTTCTCTGGGGTCCTTGTTGCTTTCTCTCTTTTCCTCTCTTCTGCGTTTGAGACAGGGTCTTGCTCTGTTGCCCAGGCTGGAGCAGTGGCATGACCTTGGCTCACTACAGCCTCAAAACCTCCGGAGCTTGTGATCCTCCCGCCTCAGCCTCCCAAGTAGCTGGGACTACAGGCACACGCCACCACACCTGGCCTAGAATGGCCGGCGTGACTCCCTGGCCTTCGGCTCCTCCTCTGCCAATCTCATGGCAGCCCTCTCAGCGCAGTTTCCGCTCTGCAGGGGCCTGTCCCACAGACCGACCACCCCCACCCCTGTGCCCACAATGCCCTCCCAAGCATCCTGTCCCACTTCACATGCTATCAGACATGCGGCCTCCTGCCATGAGCTGGACCCTCGAGCCTCCCCCACATCCATGGAGCTGCCACGCCCCCACCACCTCCCTGCCCTCCACCACCTCATGGGCATTCCTGGTAGAGCTGGCTTCCCCCACAAGGCCTTGGCAGATGAGACCATGTGCCTAGGACCTGACTCCCACCAGCTACTGAAAGTGACACAGAAACCACCCACAAATGCCCCCCAGGCCTCCACCAGAAATGCATCTCCATGACATCCCCAAGCAGGAAAGGACAGTCCTGCCAGGACGTGGCTCCACACTGACCCCCTCAGTGCACCTGACATGTGACATGCATGTGGCACGATACACATTTCCCTTCAGGGCTCACACAGCTGCCCACGGACCCCACAACTCTGCTACAGCTGAGACCAACCACGGCCACAGGCTGGGAACGGTCCTCAGGCTATAAAGGCGGTAACACAACAGCAAGGACGAGGCAGGAGCAGCTCACGGTAGCCCTCAGTGTGAGAGAGGGGAGGACACCAGGCCTGGGCCCACGGTCCAGCCACCCCTCACCTGGTGCCGACCCTGGGGACCACCTGGGAACGTGGACCTCCTCCTACCTGTGAGGAAGACAGGCTGCGCAGGGGCCGCTGCCAGGACCGCCCCTCCCCAGCCTGTGTCCCTCACCCACACCCGCGACAGCCCACAGCGGAGCCATTTGTCTCTGTGCCCCGTGGCACCCAGACAAGAGGGGATTGCCACGGCTGAGCGACGAAGTAACAGCTTGCCACGGATTAGACGCAATGTGACTTCTGACGAACAGGAATTAGTGCTCACACTGAAAATACCATGTTCTGAAATCATTTCTGAGGAACGAAGGCCCAGGGAGGAAGGAAGGGAGGAAAACATGCTCATTGCAGCCAGCTGCCTGCCTCCTGCCTCCCGCCTCCCATGTCCTGGGCGGGCCCCATGCAGGCAGTGGCAGGCAAGGTGAGTGCCCACTCAGCCTTGACCGGACCCGGGCCCATACCAACACCAGTGCCCCTCCAGATGGCTGGGCACCAGGGCTGCCCCTGCACCAGCTTCGTGCTGAGATAGGCTGCTGTGCACCCCAGCACCCCGGTACTGTCCAGCTGGCTGCTTCACACTCTCCTCCCCAAGTCACCCCTCCTTTCCCTCTTTCCGGAAAGAGGGAACAAGCAATTCCAGGCTGGGGCCTGACCAGGTCTCTCCAGCCACGTGGACCCCATGGCTGCCAGAACAGGGGTGGCTGCAGCCTCCAGAACACTGTCCTCCCAGACGCCGAGAGGCAACAGTGAGGCGAGTGGGCCACAGCCCCTGCCACGTACCCACTGTCCCCCCAGCACAGCACGACTCCCACGTTCTACCAGCCACCAACCTTGGTCCTGATACTGGCCCCATGTGGCAGATGCCCTCTTCCCTCGGCTGACCACCTGCACCTCCGGGTAGCATCTGCACAGGTGCAGTCGACGCAAAAGGGGCGTTGGCTCCACGTCAACATGGCCTCAGCCTGTGGTCAGCAGTCCCTGCCGGCCATTCCGTCTGGCCCCGCAGCTGCCACCTGCAGAGCCAGGCCCCACAGCAGCCCCAAGGGAATACCATTCCCCATTCCTAACAGAAATGGTGGCATCCCTGCCAGGCCTCACAGCAGCCCCGAGGAAACACCAGTCCCAACCCTAACAGATGCTGGTATCATTGTCCATGCAACTTCTCACGCTCAGGGCGTCTGCCCCCAGCAGCCAGTGCCCACACCTGCTCCTCCCCCCACAGACTGTCCCAAGGGGTCTTAACAGCTCCCCTCCCTCTCTGCCCACCTGTCGGGGATTTCCGAACCTGCTCCCCATAGCCTTGAGTCGCCTGTCTTCTGTGCCGGCCTGCCCAGCCCTGGGGGCTCCCCCCTCACCCCGTCATGATGGCTGCTCTACTGTCCATCAGCCTGCAGGACTAGCCCTCTCCCCGACTGGCTGGCCAGCACCCTTTGGCCCTTTGGGGCCTGACTTCAGCCTGGACTTCGGTCTATCCACACTGCACAGGGTGCCACAGTCCCCCCGAGAGGCCTCCACACACAACACCAGCACACGGCCAGCCCCAGCCCAAGGCCGCAAGCAAGGGGCAGAGGGACAGGAGCTGGGGCCTCTGGAGCAAATGTGCTGGGGGTCCAGTGATGGCCTTTCTCTGACTGCTGAGTCGGGCACCACACACAGTAAATCACAGGGGCTGGAGGAGATGGCCAGAGATGCGGCCCCACCCACCTCAGAGTGGACTACTGCTTACAAAGCCACCAAAGGCACCAGCAGGGCCAGGAAGGAAACCAGCCCTTCCTGGGTTGCTGAGATCAGCTCCCTGGACCCAAGGGGGTCCCAGTAGCTAAGGGTGCCCCGAAAACATGAGGCCAACTGGAGGCAGACCCAGGGGTTCCGCTCCCCACGCAAGGACACACCACCACACGGACACCTGGGGATGGCCTGCTGGTCCCACTGGCCTGTGGGGTTTATGCTACGGCTCTGCCTCTGGGTCTCCTCCGTTGCTCAGACTGTGACCTTGGGAGCAGAGCTGGAGGTCAGCACAGCACCCAGTTCCAGGACCAGACCCCCTGGGGTCTGTGACAGCTGAGTTAGGGCTGCCTCTGTCTGCTGACAAAGGACGTGATGAATTTGCCTTTGGCAATGGGGCCGCCCCTCCCTGCTGCTCGCAGACATCCCTCCCAGAACCATTGCTCCCTGGACATCGGCCCTGGAAAGGGAGGGGCTGCCTGTTGGCAGTAAGGCTCTTGTGAGGTGAATGACAAGCATGATTACGTTCTGCTGAAAAAGTATCGGGGAGAGGCATTTATGAGGCTCCTTTGCAGCACGCAGCTCTTCCCTCAGGGTGGGGTAGGGGCAGGATAAACACAGATGATAAAACAGTCCTCCTGACCTCTGCAGGGAAGCCAGCTCTCCACCCAGCTGGGTCCCACTTCGCTGGGGATCCCCACCGCAGGCCTTGGCCCCACCCCCAGCGTGGTCAAAGCGGCCCCCAGCCCCAGCCCTGCATCCCACCCTACAGCCGCCACACCCACCAGTGCCCTGCAGAGGGGGCTGCAAGCTTTGGTTACTGTGGGGTGAGGGGCAGGGGCCTGGCCCAGCTCTGACTGCCCACTTCCTGCCTAGAGCCACAAGCTCAGGCAGAGGCAGCCACCAGCAGAAGGCAGGCCCCCCGGCTCTCTGCCCCGGCCTCAGAAACTACCCTGGGCTCCTGAGCTGGTCCCCACCAACAGCTGCTCTTGTAGCTCCCCTAAGCACAGAGAGCAACCTGGGAGCCTCACAGAGGTGGCCAGGCCCAAAGGCTCTGGACAAGTAGCTGCCACCCTGAGGAATTTCTCCCAGCTCCAGGCCTACAAGGTCCTCCCAACCACTCCCTTCCTGCCCCCTTCAAACCCTGGGAACACAGATCGAACCTAAGCGTCAGACATAAGAGTCACATCAGAAAAGGCTGGGCACGGTGGCTTGGGAGGATGAGGCGGGAGGATCACTTGAGACCAGGAGCTCAAGACCAGCCTGGCCAACATGGCAAAACCTCATTTCTACAAAAACATACAAAACTTAGCTGGGTATGGTGGGACACACCTGTGGTCCCAGCTACTCAGGAGGCTGAGGTGGGAGGATCACTTGAGCCTGGGAATTGGAGGTTGCAGTGAGATGAAATTGCCCCACTGCACTCCAGCCTGGGCAACAGAGTGAGACTCCATCTTAAAAATAAAGAAAAGAAAAAAAAGATGTAGAGTAGGGTGGACGCAGGCCCCGATCCCGGAACACAGGTGAGACCCCAGCCCTAAACCTGGGCCTGTTCTTGCTGGGGAGGGTACGCTGCTAGGCTGTGGGAGCAGAAGCACTGAGGCAGAGCCAGGCCCTCCCCCAGCACCACCCACAGGTCAGCCCAGCAGACATGTAAGGGAGATGGAGGGTCAGGCCACAGAGCAGTGGCCGTGGATGGGAGAGGCTCCCCAGGGCTTGGTCGCAGGCAGAGGCAGTCCCGTGTGCACAATGCTGGGTGCGTGTGAAGGCTCAGGCCAGGTACAAAGCAGCCCGGAGGCTTTCCACTCTCCAGCGTCTTCCACCGAGGGGGCAGTCAGAGCCCACCAGGAATGAGGAGCTGCGTGATGCTGGGAGCCAGAAGGGTCTGAGCACAGCCGGCCCCACTTCAGGGGACGAAGCTGCCCACGATGGCGGGGCCGGCGGCATGGCCTGAAACCTGGCCTGCAGGACACACTGCCATCTGCCCCTGGCACTGCCTGGCCCAGCTGCAGCCCACACTCATCAGTAGCCCACACTCATCAGCACAGAGCCCTGGAAAGCTTGGAGAGAAAAGGTGGTCGACCATGCAAAGGGCCCTCAGCTGCCTCCAGGCTGTGAAGGAGGCCAACAAGCTGCCTTTCAGCCCAGCGGGCGGCCAGGGCTGTGCTACCCGAGGGTGTGGCCGGCCTGTGCTGTGCTACCCGAGGGTGTGGCCGGCCTGTGCTGGGACAGGCATCTGCAGGGTGGCAGGCACCGGGGAGCACATACTGGCTCTTCCATGAGTCCCTTTGGCCATCCTCAGGTTTGGGGGCGCACCCAACCACACGTGGTGAGTGGCCCACAGTCACCTCTGCCTCTGGAGAGAGAGAAGGCGGCAGAGGTGAGGGATGAGAGCTTCCTTCCGGAGAGGCAGGCCGGGAAGCCCAGTGTCTGCCTGAGGGGCTGCTCCTCAGCAGCTGGTGGATCCTGGGCAGAGCCCCCTGAGGTGCCCCCAGCCAAGCCGGCCCCCAACTCAGCCTGCTTCTGTCCACTCGGCCCCCAGGTCTGCCCCTGGGACACCCATGTTGACTTGGAGCCTTCTGTGCCTGGCACAGGGGAGACCCTCCTGGCTCCCACAGCAGTGCCCGGCACTCTGCCTCCTGTTCTGGGTTCCAGAAGAGCCACCTCACAGAGCTGGGCAGGACCTCGCCCCAGTGGGTGGCTCCTGGGCCATGGTAGCTGTGGCTGTCCCTGCCTCAGCCTAATCTCCCTTGGGTGCAGGGGGGTACACTTGGCCTCAATGACCAAACATCTCAGAGCTCCAGGGCCCATCTGGGAGTTTATCTCCACTCAAGGGCTTTGTTAGCAGTCTTGATATGTCCAGGGTGGAAGGAGTCTCCAACCACTGAGGAAGGCACGAGGTCGGCTGCAAAGAGCCTGTCCCCTCTAGGTCACCCCTGTGTGTGCGGCAGCTGAGGTCTGTATGCAGACGGGTTTGGGTGTGAGCAGGAGGTGCTGGGCCCCTGGCTGACATCCTGCACAGGCTGCCCCCGACCCCAGAGCCCTCCACAGCCACCCCACGCCTCGAGAGCGGCACTTACCCGGGGGTGATGGCGGGCGGAATGACCAGAACGGCCAGCAGCCGGGCCTGGTGCAGCGCCTCGGCCAGGTGGGTGAGCATGTGGATGAGGCCCCTGCAACAACAGAGAGGCGGGGTCAGCAGCGCTGGCACCTCCCGGGGTCCTGACACCCACTGCCTCCGGGAGGGGTGGGGCCCGTCCTCAGATGGACACCCTGTGGCAGGGCAGGGGAGTCCCTCTGTGGGAACTTCCTGCCGGTGTCTGGATGCAGCCCCAACAACACTGCTCATGCCCCATTGGGTCCACCCAGAGCACTTCCTCACACTCTGTGGCCCCCCAGAGTGGGGGCTTGTGCAGCACCCCAGGGACCCTCAGAAAGGGGGGCTCAAACAACCAGAGACAGCCCCATGTGTCCACATCACACTTCAGACATCTAAAGACATAGCAGGTTTAAAAAAAAAAAAAAAAAAGGCCAGGCCTGATAGCTCACACCTGTAATCCCAGCACTTTGGGAGGCCGAGGCAGGTGGATCACCTGAGGTCAGGAGTTCAAGAGCAGCCTGACCAACATGGAGAACCCTGTCTCTACTAAAAATACAAAAAGTAGCCGCGTGCCTGTAATACCAGCTACTCAGGAGGCTGAGGCAGGAGAATCGCTTGAACCCAGGGGGTGGAGGTTACAGTGAGCCAAGATCGTGCCACTGCACTTTAGCCTGGCTAACAGAGCATGACTCCAACTCAAAACAAAACAAAACAAAACAAAACAACATAGCAGGTGAGGAAATGCCCCAGCAGGCCCAGGACACTGACCCCAGGGTGGCCACAGGACACTCCAAGGGCCACGCCTACCTGGTGTGGCTCAGGGAAGGAGAGGGGAGGGCACTGGGCAGGGGGCCAGACAGAGCAGCAGGTAAACCTCCTCTGTCCCCTGGAGGTGGAGGCAGGGGCATCTCAGAGCAGGCTGGCAGTGTTCCCCAAAGGACGGCACTAGCCCCCCTCCTAGCATGGCCTGGGAGCAGCCGTCAGGACCCCAAGCCTGCCGTGTGCACACGCTGGTGCCCATGAGCCTGCCCTGCAGGTGACCTCTTTGCAGAAACTGCTCTGGAGCACACACTGCTGCAAAGTTGGGTTCAGGGTGACGTGTCCACACTGGGGGGGACTCTCTGTCACACTGCAGGTCCCTGGGAGCAGCCCTATCTGGTGAGGAGACAGGACCGAGGCCAGGGCAAAAGCCGGCCCCCGCTGGCTCCAGGTCCTGCCCCGCTCCAGCACAAGGCTCTGCCGGGCTCAGTGAGAACTGGGTTAGGCCATGACGGGCTGCTGGTTCCTCAGCCAGTACCCTGAGGCCCCAGTGATCCTGATGGTGCCAGGACCAAGGCCTGGCACGTGCAACTGCTGCATGGTGGCAGCTCCTGTTTCCCTGGCATGGCCCAAATGGGACTGTCATTTTCCAAGCTAAGCCTCCATCAATTCCTGGCAACTCTGGCCCAGAGGATCTGGTGTTAGCTCTGCTGGCTGCAATGCTGGCACAGTCCTCAGTGGGGAGCAGTCCTGGGGCAGCCGGGCCTCATGCCTCTGCAGCACCCACAACTCTGTGGGTGCTGGAGGCTGTCACGCACTGCACATCACTTAGAGGCGGTGGTCAAAGAGGATGCTGCCCCTGCCCCTGAAACACCAGAGCCAAGTGAGCAGAGCAGGCCATGCCCAGACGCCTGGGGAAGCTGAGCCTACCTGGGGGCACTCCTGCCTGGCTCCCGCCTACGGCGTCTGTGCTGTCTGCAATACACACAGCATCCCAGGATGGTGCCGGGATGGCTTTCCTCTGGGACACACCAGATCTGAGGGCCAAAAGGTGCCCTCAGCCACTCTGTGAGAGGCCCAGGGAGCCTGAGTGTCCTCCCACAGGAGGGCTCACGGCATGGCCCAGACTGGCCTTCAGGGAGGACACGTCTGAGTCAGGTCTATCCAGCGCCCCAGGAGACAATATGGGCCCAGAAGCAGCGTGGACCGCAGCTGCCGGGGGTGCCAGCATCACTCAGAGTGCTCCTCTCGACTGCCCCCCTCATCCCGCCAGCTGCTGGCACCAGTGGCTCCGAGTATCCTTATCATAGCCCTCTGGGCATGGGGACAACCGTAAGGGGCCGACCCAGAGCTGAGAAGGGAATAGACGCAGCAGCATCCCTGCTAAGGGCACTGCCGACAAACCCGCAGGAAAACCTGCCCCAAGCCCGTGTCCAGGGCCCAGCGCAAGGGACCAGCCTTGGGCCCGGCACGCTGGGGGCTGAGGTCCAAGTGGTGGTCGGGATAGGACTGTGCCGTGGCAGCTCCCAGGCAGCAGAACGCCCAGAGGAATCTGCCAAGTTGCTCTGAGGAGCCCGGACACCGCCTGCCCCTGCCGGCGGCAGCTCCCACCTTCCTACAGGAGCCTGGATGCAACGAGCCCCAGGCTGCTCCCACCCAACCTTCCCTGCTGCAGCCTCTCCTGCTTGGCAAACACCCCTCCGCCCCGCCTCCTGCCCTCCCACCCTGACGTTAATGACCTGTCAGGAGCCCAGACACAACGAGGCTGTCTCAGCACCCCCAGCCTCCACCCCAGATACAATGAAGCTGTCTCCGCGCCCCCAGCCTCCACCCCAGACACAAGGCGTCTCCTGAGGACACACCAGATCTGAGGGCCAAAAGGTGCCCTCAGCCACTCTGTGAGGGGCCCAGGGAGCCTGAGTGTCCTCCCACAGGAGGGCTCACGGCATGGCCCAGACTGGCCTTCAGGGAGGACGCGTCTGAGTCAGGTCTATCCAGCGCCCCAGGAGACAATATGGTGCAGTCTTGCTGCCTACCTAATGCTCTTAAACAGAAATGAGTTACAATAAATCTCTGATTAATAAACCCGTTCTCCCAGGATTACTGAAAAGGTTGGAGGCTGGTAGAATCTGTCTCCGGCTCTGAGACACCCCTCCCCTCAAATGGTACCAGAAGGTCAGCCCAGGCAGGGCCCGCTGCCCATGGCTCAGTAAGGAACCCCTAAGACCGGGCCTGGGACTGTCCCTCAGCCAAGAGCACCGGCATCTGATCCTCTGGCAAAGCTGGAGCCTCAGAGGCTGTACAGACACCAGGCTCCCCACAGCCTGGGGACATCCTCAGCCCCACTGCAGCGCCCCTCCCAGCCACGCTCCACACAGCTCCTGGTCCTCCTGCTGCTGCCAGGCCTCCCAGGAGGGAAGCGGACATAGCAGCCTCTCAGAAACACCCAGCGGGCAGCCCAATGGGGAGTGCTGGCTGAGGGTGCAGGGGTCTGAGCACCAGCAAACAGGACTGCAGAGCTCTTCGGAGCCTGGGCCTGGAGCAGCTCTGGGTGAAACCTGCGGCCTCCCAGCCCGTGAGGCCCTCAGGGCTCGGTGGAGTGCAGAGGATGGAGCCTCCCACAAGGGCAGGGCCAGCATGGGCTCCAGGCGCAGGGTCCCACGGGCCCTTGGGCAGGAATCCTGCCCCTCACAGGCTCTGCCTCAACAATGTCCCCGCCCTCTCTCAAGCTTCAGAGCTGTGTGGGGATGCTGCCCCAGGTGGGCAGAGCCTGGCCCTGCAGCTCCTCTGCCCAAAGCAGCAACGGGATGGCACTGCCATGGCCGCTGCAAGGGACACCATGGAGCCTGGCTGGGGGCTCAGGGCTGGGCCCTTAAAGTGCAGCCAGAGCTACTTCCGGTGGCGGTGGCGGGGAGCCGACCCCAGAACCCGTGGCTCGCACAGAAGGCTGAAGGCCAGACGGCTGCCGCAGGACTCTGCTGTCCAGGCACCTGCAGAGGGGCCATGCCAGGCTCACTCGCTGCAACCAGTGGAGTGAGAGGAGGCCACCTGTCCCGAGCGTGTTCGAGGATGCCCCCTGCCGACATCCTGGGCAGGAGTACCGTCCCCGTGTCTTTTGCAGGGCAGCCGCCACTTTGGCAGGACAGGGAGGGTGGCTGCTTCAGGTGAGCAGGACCGGGGTAGGGCCATTCCTCAGAGCTGTGGCCAGTCCAGGCGAGGAGTGGGGAGCCGTGGCACTTCCCATCAGTCCCTCTGTTCCTGGTCACATGGGCCACGGGGAGTGGGAACCCACGAGTATCACGGGCGGGCCAGGCTCTGATGTGGCAAAAGGGGGCCTGAGGGAGTGCTGCGGCCGGTTTCCCACGCCTCCACTGCACTGGCCATAGCCCTGAGGAATGGCCCTACCTCGGTCCTGCTCACCTGAAGCAGCCACCCTCCCTGTTCTGCCAAAGTGGGGGCCACCCTGCAAAGACGCCTGCCCAGGCTGCTTCCACTTTCCTGAACAGCGTCCATCTTCCGTGCAGCCCCATCCTGCCCCCAGGTTCGGGGACTGTGGAAGAAGGGCCCTCCCAAAGGGACTCCCTACGCTCCTTCCTCCAGCCTCTGCCAAACACCAGGGCCAGGACGAGGGCCGCCCACCACCTCCTGTGCCACTCACACGCGCTTCTGGCTTAGCAGCTGGTTCCAGACCTCCACCACGAAGCCATCAAAATGCTGGTTCTGAAAGAAGCAATCACAGGTGAGGAGGGCCTGGAGGCCCAGGAGGGAGGGGTGGAAAGACAAGAAGCCCGCCCCCTCCGCCTACATGGCCAGGACATGGCCTGCTCACTCACAAGGCCAGACCCAAGCCTGGGCTGTATGCCCAGAAGCACTTGTCTGGAGGAGGACGTGTGGGGGGTCCCAGAGGAACAGGAATGGAGGGACCCGTGCTCTCATGCATCCTGCCCCCCCATGTTCCTGCCCCAACCCCACCCAGGGGGCCTGAGGGCTCTCTGACTCTAACAGCCCAAGCACACTGGCAGCCAGCAGGGCTGGGTCCCCTTGCAGGAGGGCAGTGGGCAGCTGGGCTTTGCCCAAGGGAAGCACCTGGCCCAAGAGACAAGCCTCCCATGCCTGGGACCATCAGAGGACCCGTAGTCAAGAAAGTGAGCGGCAGCCGTATGACACTGCCTTCCCTGTAAGGTGCAGGCTGCACCAGAAGGTACCCAAAGAAGAAGCCAGGGAAGCTGAGTGGAGGGCTCGCTGAGTCCCAGCCAGACGGCCAGGTGGGGCTGGGGGCTGGGCCAGGTGGGGCTGGGGACTGGGCCAGGTGGGGCTGGGGGCTGGGCCAGGTGGGGGATGGGTCGGGGTCAGGTGGGCTGGGGCCGTGCTCAGAGGCTGGAGCAGCACACAGGCCTCACCTTTGCCACCTGGACCATGGTCTTGCCCAGCTCCTCTATCTCATCTTCACTGTCTAAGACGTTCCGGAAATCATCGTAAGTCCAGTCCTCAAACAGAAGCCGAGGCACTGCGGGGGCAGCAGACACGAACAAGGGCCGGGGCTGGGAAATGCTGGAGGGCACCTGTTGCTTGTTGCCCTCAAAGGCAGCCTTGGCCTCCAGAGGGAAGCGAGAGGACCCAGTGATGGGCAGGGAGGCCACCTGGAGCAGCCACATGTCCAGAGAGGATGTCCCAAAACCTCACAGGCTGGAGAGGGAGGGACGGTGGCGAAGGAGCGGGCAGACACTGATGGTCTTGCTGCCCAGACACCAGCTCCCTGCAGGGCTCAGCATGGGAGTGGCTCCACCTTACAGGAGGGCAGCAGGGACAGATTCCGGCTGCTCCAGCTCAGCCCCGTCACCTGCTCCCAGCATCTCCCAGGGCCTGTCCCTGAGCAACCCACACTCTTAATCCACTGCTTCTGAGGCTGCCACTGGATGTGGGGACACGTGCCCCTCCCTCCCCAGCCGTGAGCTACAGGGGCACAAGTGGACCAGGGTCAGCATCACCCTCAGGCCAAGCCCAGGACTTGACCCCAGCTGCCCCAATAGGGCTCGTCGTGTGAAGGAAGGAAGAAATGGAGGGGGGAGTGAGGGCAACACCATTAGCCAAGGTGGCCTGGCTTTGGCGGGCTACAGCCTGTGTGGGCAGAGCCCAGGACTCCAGCCAGACCACGGGCTATGAATGCCAGGCCAGGGCCAGCCTCACCTTGTGCAGCCGGAATGATCTGTGCCAGAGCAGCACAGTTGGATGATCAGGAACATGGGGAGACCGCAGAGCCCACCTGTCCACCCTCAGAGGTCATGCCATCACGGCCTCCACTCCCGGCCTGCCAGACTCACCTATGTGCAGGCCCTTAGCATTCTTCCTGATGGCTCGCATCCACCCTGTGGGACGTGGAGGGGACAGTCAGCACAGGGACCTGCGCCCAGCCGAAGACCCAGCCCACCTGAGGAGGAAAACGTGGCAGCCGTACAATACGCAACAGGAACCAGGAACGGCACGGGGAGGGGAGGCGGGTGTGAGAACCCACCCCTCCCTGGCCCAGGGCGGCCCTATGCACCCCCTTCCTCATCCCACCGCCTCCTGGCCAAGGCCCCCTCCTGAACCTGCAGAGCAGCTCTGAGCTTGCCCTCCCTGGGCTGGGACAGCTCAGAGCCTGTGGCTGGCCAGGGGGACAGGCAGCTGCATCCCGGGGCCTGGGGAAGGTCAGGGTTTCTCTGAGCTGAGGGGTGGCCAGACCTGCCAGGCCTGTCACTGGCTGACACTCCATCATCTCCCCACGGTTCTCTGTGTCAGGGAAAACCACTCCTGCTCTTGAACTACAAAACCGGCTAATACCTCCCCTGCCACGTCTCTCTGTCCGAGCCCGAACACAAGGCGTGGTCATGTAAACCTGAGCAGAAGTCATCAGGATGTGGCATCGGGAGACAGCCTCTGCTTGAACCCCACCCTCCTCCCTGGCACAGAGTGAAAATCGCTAAAGGAGGGACAGAGGAGAAGCCAACAGCCTGTGCCCTTCACTGCCCAGAGACCGCCTGAGTCATCGATCGCAGAGCGTGTCCTGCACATGCGGGGTGCTGCCCGGAGGCGTGGGGAAGACCCACCTCACAGCCGCCTGCACCACGGACAGAGCCGGGTGGACCGCTCCCAGGCACCAAGCTGGCCTTGTCGAGGGTCGCACAGCGGCGGCCGCCTCAGGCCCTCTACCAGCCCTGCCCGGCCCCACTCACCTTCCTACCCAGCCCCAACCCACACAATGGGCCTGCCCTCCAGGCTCAGCCACAGGGGTGAGGGCACGGGCCTCACGGTCATCACACACACTTAAACATGTCCGCACCCACAGTCACACTTGACGCACTCAGTCTCTCCTCTCCCACATCATCGGTCTCACACTTGCACACTCACATTCACAC